AGATAAAGGAATGCGTGTCTCAACAAAGCTACTATAATCACAAAAGCAAAGTTACAGACAAAAGTTAATGCACAGCTTACACACAATGGTGTGTAAAGCTTGCTTCATATAGACGCGAATTGCGAAAAGCGATTCGCCAAAATAATATTCCCAAAATTTGGACCTATTTCATACCGTCGCGAATTTTTAGAGATTTCATTTTTGCTCCACTGAAAGTTACCAAAAAAAATCATAACCTGAGATAACTTAATTTGTTTTATACATATTTAATCGTGTTTACGACCTTTATTTTATAGCATACGATATGAGTTTAAATTTGTTTAATGATTATGAATATTGATTACGATTGTGGACATTGATTGGAACAAAATAAGGCGCAAAATTGCCATTTACTTATTGTTAAAACGAAGAAGAGAACGGGTTTATAGCACAGGTTTATAGGTCATTTGGGACATGTGAAATATTCAAATTTCGTAAGCAACAAGGTTCTTATCGCAATTTAATTCAAGGAATAAACAAAAGATGAGAAAAAATTTAGGAATTTTCACAGATTGTCTGTACAGGAGTTTGATAACTTGGTAGAAGTTGAAAAATTGTCACCATATATATCAAAAACATATTATGCACGAGAACCCATTTCAACTGGAGAAATGCTTTCAGTTACTTTGCAGCAGCGTCGTCAGAATAATCGATAACCGTATCACCACACCATTCTGCGCAAACGCGAACCTTAAAATCGCGGGAATATTCGCAAAAAGTTGAAAACACTTTAACTTTCCCGCCCCCCAAATTTTAAATCTTGCGAATCGCCAAAATCTTAAAATTTCTGACAGCGCCGCCATGATCAGTAAAATTTGACCAATGAGAGCAGTTTCGCAAAATCGCAATTCGCAATTCGCGTCTACGTGAACAAGGTTTAAGCTGTGGTTAATGTTTCAGTTCGTTTAGGACTATTTATCGTTGGAAAAAAGCTAAAAGTGATTTATTTTGTATGAGGTCGTGCGTTATCGGACAAAGTCCAAACCCGCGGACAGGAGGAAATCGTAAACCATCAAGATTAAACATTGGAATCGAGTTACTTTATGTTGTGCCAGATCAGCTGAAATGTAATGTGTGGAGATCGGTTTTTAGAGAGTATTTTAAGGAATTAGGGACATGCTTTTCAATGTATTTCTAGCAGCTATAGAATAATTTATAACTATTACTATACAGGGTGAGTCTTAAATAAGTGAAAATATTTTTAGGGGTAGCCCCGGAAACACGCCTACGAGTTTTTTTCGCGAAATTTTTTTTTGAAACTTTGAAATTTTTTGAAAAAACAATTGGAGTTTTTGTTAATTTTTCGTTAAAAAATATAAAATGTTTATAACATAGGTAGCAGATTAATCCTCGGGCAGGCGCGTCTTTTAGCAACGACCGGGTGCGTTGCGGTATTCTGTACCGAATTTCTATTTTTAAATATTATGTAATGTAAAATATTTTATTGTAAAATTTTACAAGCTAAACAATAAGAAGCAATATTTTAAATACATATTTACTTTATTACCACTTAAAAAAATATTATAAAAACGTCATATAAAAAAGGAACCGAACGAAACATTTTTAGTATTCAAAATAAAAAAAAATATATAGCTCACAAAAACTATATCTTGCCGTACATATTATATAAAATAAAACAAAGATTATTTTAAATATTCGAAAAAAAGATTGAACCACTGGAAGAAGACGAAACTATCATCTAAATGTTTATTCTTCTTCTATTCGTAGATATATCTACTGGTATAGGTACAATTGATTAGTCTTTCACTGTAGTTTTTGTAAACAGATTTGTTGTCAGTGGCGGATACAGAGGGGGGGGCCATGGGGCCCGGGTCTCCCCTAAAATCTGTAAATTGTGTTAAATATTAGGCTTTTGGTTAAAAATGACGCCCTAAGAAGCATATTCTACATTATTTTTTATTTTGCCCCCCCCCCTACCTGTTTGTTGCATTAGTTGCAAAAACAAAGCAAAATTTGGTTTATAGTTTATGGAAAGTCGACACATTCGATCTGTCCTATGGATCTGTTTATATCAACAGATTGCATATCAAACAGTAAGATCAAAAAATATATATATTTCTGTTTGTTATAAAATACCTCAAATCAACGGTGGATACAGAGGGGGCCCATGGGGCTCCGCCCCCCTAAAAACTGTAAATTGTGTTAAATATTAGGCTTTTGGGTTAAAAATTGCGCCTAAAAAGCAAATTATACATTACTTTTTCGATTTGGCCCCCCCTAAAATAAATTTCTGTATACGCCCCTGCCTCAAATCATTGTTATTTTAAATTCAAGCCGCCGATGTATATCATTTAAAAAATCGAAACACAAATAAAATTGTTTTTCAACGATATATCATATGTTCCTATACCTAAACCTTCTGGTTTCTCCAGTAGAGTCATTTAAAAAAATCTTTGAATAAGAAGACTAAGGAAGGAGCATAATGCTATCCATGTATTCATGCATGGTGGGCGGAAAAAGCTCTCTAGGGTGGGGATCCTTGACAGTTCTGTTTGACGATTCATTTGACACATTTGAATTTGATTTGAAATTTTGTGGATTTGTTAGTCTTTACGGAGCTTATTTTATGTTATTTATTATTTATTCTACTACTGATAGTTGTATAAAGGTAGTAAATCTAGATGGAAATTGTGGCAGAACTTAAATTAACAGTGACACTATCGCGATTTATCGAAAAAGACTCTAAAATAGTTGGTTGTGTAGCGTGCGGTAGATCTCGGCAAAAATTGAGTGAAATAATGGAACAACTTTTCGCTAGTAAGTGACTATATAATATACATACGTGTAGTAAACCGATCATTTATGAAATTTACTTAAATTATCTAAATTATATATTTTTCTTGCATTTTAGCTTTTATTTATTACTTGTCAAAGATTAGATGTCAAAGAATTTAGAGACGTTAATTTGACTTACCTGCTTCAGTAGCGTATCGGATGTTTGTGTTAATAAATACTTATTATAACTTATCTATTTTTATTAGAATTATATATTTTTGTAACAATTTTAATAACTACCAACATTTATTCACAACGTAAAATAAAACAACAAATTATTGAGTCTACCCCACGTCTACCCTACATCATAGTTTTACATTTTTTAACTAAAATTAGAACGACACTGATAAACCGGAATATATTTCGTCGGCCATATTTGAGGCCCATCGCGGCGGACCTAATATTTTTGATATGCTCCTTCCTTAGTCTTCTTATTCAAAGAAAAAAATAAATAATTCTATTGTAATAATTCACAAAGAGTTAAACTTTATAAGAATCAATTATAATAGGTTTTACTATTTTAATTGCTAAAATTTCGAAAATTGTCATGGTAACGAAATTCTTGAAATGAAACAATTTTAATAATAGATAATATTATCTTTTAAATGGTTTTACTGAAAAAAATCGGAATAGGCACGGTATAGGAACATGATACATCGTTGAAAAGCAATTATATTTGTGTTTCTATTTCTATTTGTGGAATAATGAACTAGGCTTGAATTTAACATAAAGATTTGAGCAATTTTACCAAACAGAAATATGAATTTTGCTCTCCCTGTGGAATATCCAATCGGTTGATTTAGACAGATCTTATATATCGAATTTATATAAAATTTCAACTTTTTTCAAATTTGTTGAATTTATGACTACCAATGTTTATTCAAGATCATTATTTTGTCAATTTTACACATGTTTTATTTTTTATCTCAAAAACTATTAGATAGATATAGGTTAATATAATATTCAAATTCAAATAGTTTATTTATCTTTTTTTAATATTAATATAAAAATTAAACAAGCAAAAAATTAGGTAAAAGGGACTGTGTCGCGATTATAAAAAAACCGATACACAAAAACATTAAATGTTTTTGTGTCGCACAGCCCCGTAGATATTCAAAAATATATAAATACATAAATTACATAAAAAAATTGATGGAAAAAATATAAAATAAAATACAAAAAATGTAATCAAATATAAGGAAAAAAAGAGAAGAAAGGGGATGCAATCAACGGGTATGACCAGGGGGAAGGCTAGTGCACCAGGGAAAAGTTAAATTAAATTAAAAAACAGGTTATTACTAGTATAAAATTAAAATTAATAGGCGACGAAAGCAGGCAGGCAGGCTAGTTACTCGTTTAAATTATTTATTTATTTAATAGAAAAATTTTGGGATGTGAAAGTAGTTTCCAAAAATGTAATAATATACCGGGTGTTCCATTTAAAATTTTAAAATAAGAAAGATGCTACCGCTTTTAGTATGAAGCGGCAACACTGTAACGCTGAAAATATTTTAGATAGATAGAGCAGGTGCCTGTATGTAAGAATCCAAATTTTCAAAAAATAATATATTACTGTTAAACCAAACCAAACTTCTAACGTGCCATCGCCGTGAATCACCCTATATAACATACATTTAACAAATTATTATAAAAGCAATCGAAAAAATTAATTAACAATTAAAAACTACACCACATAAAACGAAATAAAAAAATGATAACTATATATTTTACTGACATTACCCAGCGCGTAGCGGCACGGAGTACCGCTCCTTCCATATATAGTTGTCAGATTTACAACAGAATTGCTACTGAAGCAAATTCGATGGATATGCAATTACTACGACCAAAGGTGTCAAATATCCCGAAATAAGAATGGCACCACCTATCTATGATCCTATAAGGATATTTTGTTTTTATTAAATTAGTAAAATTGCGGTACAATATTCTGGACGCGCCTGCTCGAGGGTTAAATGTATAAGAAAGAAAACCCAGAAAAGATCAAGTGGTTTTCAAAATTTAAGTGATTTTTTTTTATTTTCGAAGTAAACTAACTCAGTTATTTTGGACTTCTTTGAAAAAAGGCAAAGAGAAAATCTGTTACATTTATCGAGATCTACCAGCCCTGAAAATATTTACACTTATTTAAGACTCACCCGGTATATTACCTGAAAGAGATGTAGCTGCTAACTGATAAGTCGAAGCCCCAATACTTCCACTAGAACTAGGAGAACTAACATAAGGAGAGTAAGATTGTGCGGCATAATAAGTCCCTGCGTATTGACTAGCTTGTGAATCAGCATAACTTGTGCTGTAAGGTCCGTATTCCACTCCCTATAACCAAGGTAATTCTTTAGTTTCATGTTTTTTATTTTTTCCTTTACAAACCTGTGTAAAACCCTGCGCAAATCCGGTAGTGCTCCCAGTGCTAGCTCCATAAGTACCGTAAGGGGAGTATTGACTGGTCTGCGCTCCTGCACTTCCAAACGCACTAGCTGGTGAGGCATAAGGCGCTGCTATATAGCCGGATGCCTTACAGGAGGCCCTTGTGGGGCCTAGGGGCGAATAAGGGTACGACGAAGTGCTATAAAAGGGGCTCGATGAAGACGGGCTGATGTAGGAAGCTGCAGCAGAGCTGGATGAGCTGTATGCTTGGTGCATGCTAAAGAAAAATTATTTTTATTGAATTAGATCCATATACACTCAGATGCAAAAAAAAACGCAACGGAGAAATTTATGGTCAAATTTAAAGTGTTTTTTGACAATCCAAAAAACAAAATGCTCAGGAGTCATGGTTCTCACCGTAAAATTATATTTTAGGAAAATTTACAGACGAAATTAATGCACAGGGTGTTTTAAACTTAGAGTAAAAAACAACCCCTCGATTAACCCTGTATAATATGCTAAATACTAAAGTTTATAAAAACCTGAGTTTACGAATCAAAGTTGATATAATTATATACAGAAAAAAAAATTTCTCCGTTGCGTTTTTTTTGCATCTGAGTGCAATAACCTGTTATCAATTTTGAGCTTGTAACTATTATCCCTAAATTATTAACTAAAGCATCGAATTTATATATAGTTCATACCAAATAAACTTTTAGTCACGTGATTAAGCCTGACTGGCACAGCGTTGCCCATCCCTTTTATATATTTTCTTTTAATCAAAATATTTTAGAAAACAAAAATAAATTAATTATAAATATATAAAGAGTTATTATTTACATCAACAAAACTCACCTTCTTAACAGCTCTTAAGGGACATAAAAGGCCAATACTACCGCTTTCCCGTTCAAAATATTCTAGTAAAGTTGCGATGAGTTTTTTACGGCTATTAAGCTATATTTTGTACACTTCGCACTAAAAGCGGTTCTAAAAAGAACAAAGGTCTGCTAGAAAAAATGTTTAAGGTTAAAGTATCACAACACAATTCATTTAAACCAAAAACTCGTAATACAAAACTAAAGTGTCAAAACGAATGACAATATTAAGAAATAAATAAATAAATGTGGCAACTTGACATTTTTTACAGCAGAGCTACCACCTGAATCCCCAGATTAAATTTCAGTTAGTCAGCCCGGCGCTGAATATTTCTATGGTTGGCAACAATGAATTTAAAAATCGCGATTACGTAACTAAAAGTTTAATTGGTATTGAATATATATCTATTAATTTCGCAACTTCATACTATTCCTAGAATTTTGTCTGTTAAATTCATCTAGCTATTCTGGTACAAAAATCATTAAAAAACATGTTTAGAAATCTTTATTTTTATAAAACCGTATTGTGTATTAGGTGTTGAATCATTTCTCTACAGTAAGCAAATAACTGAACTGCATACAGGGTATTTCTCAAGTAGTCTAAAAAATTAGGGTGTGATTACTCATATGGGTTTAAGAAAAAAAGTTTAGGTATATGATCATGCGGTCTCAAGGGCCCTGTTCCCAGAAGAATCCCTGACTAGTCAGCACGTTTCTTATTGGTTGAAATGGGTAGAAACCAGACTAACAATCAGGTTTCTAGGCATTTTAACCAATGAGAAACGTGCTGACTAGTCAGGAATTCTTCTGGGAACAGACTAAGTACTTTTTGATCTACAGAGTATTAAAAATTAAAAAAATCTAATTTAATCGGCTTAAAATAAATGGTAGCTACTGCGTTTTTTCGAGAAAACAATTTTCTTATTGAACTTTTGATTTTTAAATGGTACCCTTGGTATTTTGTTTCTTTATTCAATACAAATTAACACTCTGAATAGAATGACATACCATATGTCAACTTTTGACATTTTCGAATAAGTATGGTTTATTTGTAATGTTGCAACATGAACATGCGATTCATAACGACAATTTGACACGAAATATCAAGTGTGTGGTACCAAATTATTCGTAAAAAAATGCTTTTTCCAAATATGCTAATGAGCCACCCTCGTTCCATTTGAAAAAATTGAGTTATGATTAAAAATACGATTTAAGCATCTTTTAACTGGCCAGTGGGACAAGACACTAAAAACATTGCAGGATCAAATCTATTTTTCTAAGGCTACTTGATTAAAAATTAGTGTTTTTAACACAGCCATGGCACTCTAGATTGAAATTTAAAATTCAATTTTGTTTTAAGCAAAAATGTCAAAAATTGACATATGACATGTCATTCTATTCAGAATGTCATTTCCTATCGACTAAAGTAAAAAAACACCAAAGGTGCCATTTAAAAATCAAAAGTTGTAGTCATTTCCGGTGAAACAGGAAGTGGCCGAAAAGAATTGAATACATCAATCAATCCTAATTTACATATGTCATATACTAATATACCAAATCTCGATTTTTATCTGAAAAAATAAAAAAGTTATAGGGGTTAGCCACTTTTGAGACGCACCCGGTATAGTTAATTTTTTTTGAATCTCGATTTTTGCAACATTTTGTTTTTTTGTGGAGTTCTCGTTTTAAGACGCATTCTGACGATTCGTATACTTGACAAACATTTGTAATTTTTTTTTAAATGGACACGGTTTATATATATTTTTAAATGGACACGGTTTATATATATTTTTAAATGTTGGTAGCTTATTAAGAACTTTTATAAAAATATGATATATGTATTCTATACTTATTATCATAAACCAGGTAAAAAATGTATTTTTAACATAAATAATACCTAATTTAATTAAACCAGATTAACCAGAAAAAAACAGTACAACAGACACGAATTAGGATTGACAACAGTAGTTTAACGTTCATTCGTAGGTCGATAAATATTCTGAAATAGTGCTCAAATCTTAAAGGGGAGCGACTCTCACCTATTGTAATACTGATGAGCTTGCGCATAGGCCTGCGGGTAGTCTTTGTCGTAGGCGGCGGCTCCTATGTCGGCGGGCGACGCCCCATAGAATGGCGCCCCGACGCTCGCCGCCTCCTGGTGCGCGGCCGTCAGTGCTGCGGCCACATCGCTATCACTCAGGCCTGGCGATTTGATTTCGCTCTTCACACCTGTAAAGAAATAACAACATAAATCACTTCAATCCTCAATCCAATACCACGATCGTCTATTGTAAATAGTTCTGTTGTGGTCTTCTTATTTTTAGATTGTATTTTTCAGTCGTATCCTTCTTAAAAAATCTATTAAATAGATACTGAACCAAATTGACGTATCTAAATTCTTTGACGTCTAATCTTTGGCAAGTAGTAAATAAAAGGAAAAATGCAAGAAAAAATGGTAACAGTTGCATATACGGTTTTCGGCTATTTTTGGACTATATAAGAAAATTTTTATATACTCACATTCTATTGACCTTAGAGATTATAAATATGCTGGGGGAGAAGAGAAATTGTGTTTATTTAAGTATTTTTTCAACCAAACAAACTTACGGGACCGGGGAGCGAATAGGGGTGCGGGGCGGGGTAAAAGCGTATAAACTGGTAAAACATGACATACAAATGTAGAAAAATCGCATTTTCCATTTAAAAAATTGAGAAAATATAGATTATGCAAGGAATTTCAAAATATTTTAATTTAATATTTGACACATATTTGACGTTATGAGAATTTTAACACTTGATTTGACATGACACCGACAGAAGGGAAAGCAATGTTGCCAGTCCCACTGAATTTTCTTTAAAATTTTTATATCTGTAGATTTTGATTTTTTAAACTAACCCAAATGAAGCAAATTAAATTAAATAAAACAAACATTGAAAAATGAAAATAATATATTTTATTTTGATGAAATATATAAAAATAAAACCTTAAACTAACAAAATATAAAAAACAAAACCAAAATAACGTTTCACTCTTATGTTTTGTTTTGTTTTGTGTTTTCTTCTTTTTCACTAGATTAAAAAATAGTTTATATATTTTTAGTGCTATTTGGGATCCGTTTCAGTTTATGGCCCTCAAAATTAAGAAATTTTCTATAAAATGAAGTGTCTATTCTAATGCTGTTAAGACAAACATAAAGAGCTTGAGTTGAGGAAAAATGCAATTTTGGTAAAATAAGAGAAAAATTTTTCTAACATTCGAAAAAAAAACAAAGAATCAAACCAAACAAGATCAACCGAATCTAAACCAAACCAACCAAAACCAAACAAAACAAACCAACCAAAACCAAACCAACCAAACCGCTCAGTGTGTTTTCATTGCTAGAGCTATAACTAAGCAATTCCCTATGCCGCTGGTGGCGATTTAAAAAATAAATAAAAACATTTTAAAACCTATGACGCCATTTTTCCCTTTCTTCTTCTTTTTTCTCAAACTCTCCTTTTCAGGAGAGAGTTGCGTTGCCTAGGCTGTCAGGACCATTCTGGCAAAGTACTTTTCTGCTTTTCTTTTGGGTGGTCACGTTTTATGAACTTTCACAGATTTATCTTTCTTAACGACTAACAGTTATTGAGGCTATTAAACAGGTTGCTTTAAGCTCTGCAACTATTCAGTTATGCATGCATTCTTCGAGTACTAAGCAGCTCTAAGTCCCAATAATTGTGCATTTCAAGAAAATGTGAATATGACATTTCAAATTTGCGGCTAGTTTTTTTCTTGATTACAAAGTTAATGGTAGGCTTGTTATTAGTAAATATTTAGAGTTTTAAATTACTAACATTCAAAAACAAAGCGATTTGTTTTATGTGTTCTATCTTGTTGAATTTAAAAAGGATGTCATGCAGGGAAATCGGTTTTTGCTCTATCTCATTGTCGAAATAGGAATATAAGATTTTTTGGTGATTATAATTATGTGGACAAGTAATTATCAAATGAAAGACATCAGCAACCTCTCCACACTGACACAAATTATCTCTATTAATTCTGATTTTATCATTACCGGACAATTGCAGATTTGGCAACTTGGCATCAACTCACAATGTTTGTCAAGATTCAACCTTCACTACTGTCAGCATATCCTTCAATGTAACGTAACCCATATGTAACCTGCCAATGATATCTAAATAAAACAGTTTTACATAGTTTTTTGAAGAAATTTTACATTAAAAGCTTAATTAAAGGATTGTAAAATGGTTGTGTTATGAGTATCTTTAATCAGAATATTATTTTTACCCCGCCCAGCACCCCTATTCGCACCACGGTCCCGTAAGTTTGTTTGGTTGAAAAAATACTTAAAGAAACACAATTTCTCTTCTCCCCCAGCATATTTGCAATCTCTAAGGTCAATAGAATGTAAGTATATAAAAATTTTCTTATACATATAGTCGAAAAATAGCCGAAAACCGTATATGCAACAATTACCAATGATATACCTTACTAGCGAAAAGTTATTCCATTATTTCCCTAGATTTTTGACCGAAATACCTACCACACCTACCGCACACTACACAACCAACTATTTTACAGTCTTCTTCGATAAATCGCAATAGTGTCACTGTTAATTTAAGTTCTGTTACAAAATTTCCTTCTAGATTTACTTTTAAACAACTATCACTAGTAGAAAAAATAATAAATAACATAAAATAACCTCAGTAAAGACTGACAAATCCACAAAATTTCAAATCAAATTCAAATGTGTCCAATGAACCGTCAAACAGAACTGTCAAGGATCTCCACCCTAGGGTCCTTTGTCCGTCTATAATACCTTGCATGAATACCTACATGGATAGCATTATACTCCTTCCTTAATCTTTTTATTCAAAAGCTCTATTACACAGAACTGCACATTATTTGTCAGGTAGTTACCATAAAATGACACAGAATGTGTTTGTCGTTCGTTCTCCTGATTGACAGAATTTGCACGACTTTGTCAATTAATCACACATCGGCTTTAAATGCTTGTTGATCTTGCAGCGGCTTGTTAGCAGACTCAATATGGTTTTGACCAATGACTAAAGAATACAAGAACAAATAGCATAATGCTGTGCAAATAGCACCCGAGACCAAACTGTGACCATTCTTCCAAACAGTGCCGTGGCACATATTTTTCATAACATAGCCGCTTGAAGTGATAAATGTTTTCACTACGCCTATGGTGTATGCGGTGGTATCGTACTAATTAATTACGAAAAAACGTATTAAAATGGTAACAAAAGATACAAAACTAGTATCGACATATAGCACATATCAAGTATATATTTATAATATCAGAAAAATAATTATCGAATTCAATAAGAAAATTAAGAAAACGCTAAAAAGGTGGAGTGGACTGTTTATTTGCCTATGAAACGTAACTCCTGGCTCTTTCTTATCGCTGCGGCTTTTATACTTGTAGACAATCACAACTAATCACCATTGTAATAAAGTTTATACAAAGTTCACTACACACAAACTATTAAAAATCACTAAAATTGTCGCTGATGACCAGCTGATGACTCATTCGTTATGTCCAAAAAAATGGCGTCTAATGTCACAAATTCTGCTGCAACCCGCATATGGGCGTTACATGTTCTTGTATTCTTTAGTCATTGGTTTTGACAGTTGTCTTGCCTTTGCTTATCAAATATTGCCGTGAATTTTGGCGAGCGTTCTACTCAAATGAACTGTTGCCGGCTTCTGCAGTAATTTCAGTAGGTATTCTTTTTTGGGTGCATAAAAATCAAAAACTATTTTAATTACCTTGGGTATCTAATAAAGGCCATCCGGCGGTCGCAACCGCTGCGAAGTTAGCTAGACACGGTGGTCCACTTGCGAGGGAATCCGAGGAGCTGACAATACCGCTTCCGTTGAGATGGGCTGCTGTTGGTGGCGAACCGCAGGAACTAGATGAGTGACCACTTTGTGGCGACATAGGACCCCCTTCTGTTAACCTAAAACAACAAAAATAGTATAATTTATTTGTTTATATAACATTATTCTAATAAAATGATTGATGTTTTTTCAATAGCTTTTCTCTAGTTTGTTACGCCACTGACAAGTGTTGAATAATTAAGTGAAAATTATATATAAACACGTATCTGTCAAGTTGTCGGCCTCATAATCGAAAGATGTGCTACACTTCCTAAATGCAACGCAAACACTGTTGTCATATTTTAGATAAACTGAAAACAGGAGAGACGTCGAATTGGATGTAGGCTTAGATTAAGAATAAAACGATGTAGGCACGGTATACAGTTCCCCTGTGCTTAGAAATCTCGAAATCACATTGGCAACGCTGTATTTGTAACTCAACATGTGCGAACCAAATGGTAATCTTCATCTCTATTAATTCTTGGTGGTTTTTTCGTTCTGGCACTTGTTATATTCCCAAGCCAACGCCTTACTTACTGAGGATAGTTTTTCATGAATAATATCTTAAATATTATTTTTTCCAACAAACTACGGGTTTCGAGCAAAATTCGCAAAGAAGGTGATAAAATAGTAGAAATTCTTCATAACACTGAATTGTCTCAAATCTTGTAAATTTTTATCCATTTGACACTAGATATTCGGTTATTATGGAAATAACTAAGTCTAAAAATAACGAAATTTTGAAAAATGCAGGTATTTTATAAAATTATTAAAAAAAAACATTCATCCCTGAGATTGTGTCAAAAAGACTCTCACATTGATTTTCTTCAAACATTTTTTCTAAAGTTGTTGGGACTTCAATGGTTGGATAAAAATATTAACACTGTTTTGAATAAAGCATAGTATGAAAAATAGTCGAAATAATCTGCCTGTTTTAGCCTTTATTTTACACGTTTTCATGCCGCTCAAAAAATAGTGGACCCGGTCATAAAATTATGAGAATTACGGCGTTTGTAGAAGATTTATGTACAAAACAGAAATGAGGCTTAAATTTGTGAAATTTTTGTTTTCGGGCGATTTTTAATGGTGGTTAAATATCATACGAGCGAAAAAACGGTGTCAAAGACGGTTGGAGAATGACAATCGATGATAATTTTGGCGAGGTCAAGCCCTAGACGTCATTACTTGGCCCGTACTTTTCTTTATTTTTTAATGGCGCTTACTGCCAGTTTTCTTAAGAAGGTTTTAATTTTTCAAGCTTTATATTGAGTATATAAAAATTATTATTAGATGGAGTAGTTTAAAATTCAAGAAAAAATATTTTTTGGAAATAGATTTGCCGTGTAATCTATAACAGTGTCTTGTACACTTCGCACTAAATGAGGTTCTAAAAAGAACAATGTTCGACTGCAAGGTCTGCTAGTAAACATTTTTAAGTTTAAAGTATCACAATACAATAATTTATTTAAACCAAAAACTCGTAATACAAAACTAAAATTTCACAACAAATAACAATGTCAGGAAATAAATAAAGAAATGTGGCAACTTGACATTTTTTACAGCAAAGCTACCACCTGAACCCCCAGCGGGAAATGTAAATTCCAGTTAGTCAGCCCGGCGCCGAATATGTCCTTGGTTGGTAACAATGAATATAAAAATCGCGTTCTCGATTACGTAACTAAAGAGTTTAATTGGTAATCGAATATACTTAATTCGCTTTCGTTTGTTGCAAATCGGTTGCAGTTGAACACTCCAGCATCTACAGAGATAAAAGTGTGCCTTCTAATCATTTTTTTCAAACATTCTTTTCAAATAGTCGGTGTGAAGAGAATAAAATAATAATCATTAACGATTTATAGGTTTGTTCCAACCCGCCGCAGAACCTTTTCAGAAAATTCAAATGTGTTCCAACCGAGATTTGACGGTTATTGGACGATCCTATTTGCGTACGGTAGGTTGCTACCTTGGGATCGTTTAGTTACGATTTCAGAACGGTAATTTCGGTACATGATCCAAATTGAGAACTGTTTGGATTGACTTGCGCATTAAAGCATATTGGCAGAGATTATCGATTTTTAACAGCTGATTCTGGTCCGGCCTCCGGCTGATTCTTCGCCTTGGTTATTTTTTACGAATTCCCATACGTGTGCGTTATACTTTTGCTTGTGTGTTTGTGTGGAGTAAATCGTTCGGAAATTTTAATTAATTTTTTATTTATAAAATAATGTTCAAAGATTCTACCACTGCAATGAAATAACAGGAAACTAAGCATAACAGGATCATAAAAGAGAGGATAGGTAAGTGAGTTAGTGAGTATACAGTTGAAACAACACTTGCCAACAATTACTGGATTCTGATTCTCCATTTCAAGAATAATAATTATTATTAACTGCAAATTGCAAACAAAAATAATAGGGTTATGTTATGAAATTCTAAACAAAAACAAAAAACCGATCGATACACGCACGCTTCACACTTGACAGTCCCGAAAACAATCCACAAAGCGTCCCAATGTTGATACTTTTTGCACCGTCACGTAACTATTCGAAGTCCGCACATGCTAACAAAGTGCAAGAAAACCGATTCGAGTACGATTTCGAAACGATCCCGAAATGCTGTTTGGAACAAACCTCGAAATACATTTTTTATATTTCTTTCGCATGGGCAAAAGCAACTTTGAAGCTCTTCTTCATTTTCCAATTAGGACATCGGACATCGGTATACTCTAGCACTGTCCAAAAGGCAAAAGGTAAGATAGGGTGCTGCAGTTTTGAGGCACACTCGAAAATCCCCACAAGGGTAAATATCAAAAAAACTTAACGGTTAATTAAAAACTTAACAACTTTTAACGGGGGGCGCTTAATATCATACTTAAAAAAAACACAAAAAACTATAGAATATATATTTTTTTCAAGTCAATATAAACAACTCAACTGAAAAACAGCCAAACTCCAACATTTACTTTATACAAAAGCACATTTTTACAGTATTTCGAGCCCTTTATTATTTGGAATGCACTCGTCGCTAAATGTGTCTCACGCCTACGCAAACACTTTTCAAGTACCTAGCACCTTTTCGAGTACCATTCCGGTAGTGGCGTCCTTTAAAGTACCCGTTTTGGCCAAAATAAGTATCCCCTATCTGTCAAAGGAACGCCGGTCGTCAAGTATGAGGCCCCTTTTCGTCGGGATGGGCTAACAAAAGACCTTTTGTGACATAATGGACTTGAAAACATGGCGGGGGGTCTCAATAATGAGGGATAAGAGTGATAGAGACTTGTATAAGGGATGCCGGATGTTGTCTACTCAGAAAATATTAAGCACAGGGGGTGTAATAACAACAATATAGATATTAGCTACTGGATCAACTATGGAACATTCATAAAACTGAAATGTCTTAATTATTTTTGACGAAGTACTAATAACTCTAAATAAGTTTCTAATTTGATTGATTTACACCTTGCATTACTAATACCGTATGATCGAATAAAAACGGCGTCAGCGATGGCTATGAAATGAAGATCGCTGTCATTTTATATGTAAAATTAAATGGGAAATGTCATCGATCGTCATTTCCAAGCCAACTGGACGCCATTTTTTTTTCGATCGTACGATATAATCATTCTAGAAAAACGTACTGTACTCCGCATATTAATCTGGGGGACGTCTAATCCATGCTCCGCCATCGAGCACAACCGTAACATCCGAAGCAACTGACAACATTTTTGCCTAGTCTAGCTGATCTGTTGTACAGGGTGAGTCAACAATAGAGTAAAGTCCATTATCCCATTTATTTCAAGGTTTACAAAAAAATGTTTAATATAAAAGTTATAGGGATGGTTAAGATACACATTTTAAAATTATTATAAAGTATACAAGGTGCTTCAAAAAAGTGTGGCGGCTATAACATATGTTTTTTTAAATGCAACGCCCTATTTTTTATTTCATTTTTAGATTCTGCGTAAAATTCCATAACTTTTTTATATATAATATTATATACCTAAAATTAATAGTTTTTGTAATATTTCAATTTATTTAAACAAATGTTTTGCAGTGTGATAAAAAATTGTCAGTGGTGCCATTGTTTCTGAAGTTGCAGTACCAAAATTTGGTACGAGAGTTTTATAGAGATGAAAAAAAAGATATATGTAAAGATATTTTAGTTAAATGATACAGGGTGTTCAAAATATATTTATGAATTTCAACTATTTAAAATTAAAAAATCTCAAATTTTTTAAATGGGACACCCTATATATTATCATTTTTTCTGGTAGATTTGACAACACTCTTCAACTTTTATTAAGTATGTCATATCCCTATTTTTGATAGTTTGCGATTTATTCCCATTTTTTTCTATTTTACCCATATTTTTAATACAATTAGCCTATAAAATCATAGTTGCCATGACAAAACAAAACTATTTATTACTTACCTTTAACAAGTAGCTTCATAATTAGTTACAATTGCTGGTATTAGTTAAAATTAATTAACTTTACTCAAATAAACTAAATCGCAGTAGTGAATTTCTTGGTGTATTTCTATATTATGAAAGATGACACTTGGGGTTTTTCGTCGGGGCGAATAGCCACAGATTAGGGTAATACTAGATTACGTAATTGCTGAAGACTACTGATATATGAATTTTCTTCGACATACAGTAAAGTTTTTTCTCGTAGTAATTCTGGTTTATAATTTGGTAAAGCCAATATTACTACTGCCGCGAAACCGTCTCATTACACACTGAAGATGTTTTCTAGATAATATACATACATCTATCCTTATAGTAGTTAGCAAAGTACTATATAATATATAGTACTGAACCAAAAAATGTGGTTTTCTAAGCTTGTGCATGTATATCAATCACATTGACTAATTCATTTCAAGAAAATCTGTAACTATTATCTCTACCATTTATACTTATTAGAACAAATTAAACTAAAATTCAAATTTTGTTCTTAACTTGCTTAACAGACATGAAATTCTGATAATTATTACTTTTTGTCATGGCAACTATGATGTTATAGCGCAATTGTATTAAAAATATGGGTAAAAATAGAAAAAAATGGAATAAATCGCAAACT